TAAATATTATAAGCATAATTGGGTTTCGGAGAAAATGATTAGGCACTTGAAGCGATACTTTTACAGTGATCAATATATAATAAATATATATTAATATTATATATAATATATAATCTATATATGCTATATAAAATAGACTATATCAATAAAATAAAGACAAATCTATAATATATATAATATGATATAATATTATAATATTTCAACTCAGGACCATGTTTGTTTTTCTCGGTATTTTGGAATTCAATTAAAAACATAGGTAAAACATAAAATTGTTCGTCTCTTTGTGACAATTTTGATAAACTTCCACCTCTCTCTCATACATGTCTATGTGTATGTGTATGTCTATGTGCCCCTCGGGGGGTTGGTGGTGTAGGTATTAAATTGATGATAAAATCAGATGAACAAGAAATAAAGTTTGTATCCCCTGAGTTGAGGGACTTATGGGCTTGGCACCCTGTCGCACCCAACCAACTATGGTGCGTCTGAGTCTACTTGCCCAAGGCAAAAAACCTTGCAGTTAGCAAATAAAAAATTTGTAATAATATATAAATTCTTAAGTCGCGAAGTACAAGAGAGAAAAAAAGGATAAATATATAAAAAATATTACAAAAACAACTTTGCAAACCCTGCACTATGACAGTGCACTTATCAGTCGATTTTTAGAACAAATCGCCGATTAGTGCACTAATTGGTCGATTAATTTCGACTAGTCCAATTAGTTGGACAATTAGTGCATTGAAAAAAATTCATGCATACATGACCATTGGAATCGGGCCAGATCGGGATCGGCCAGTGACCTATCCCAAGTTAGTTGGCCGATTTTTTAAAAATTGGACAATCTTTTGAACACTGATGCAAAAATATTACCTCATGAAAAATTACTTACACATGCTTTTTCCCTTTCCAATGGGAAAGGTTTCTATACTTGTTGCATAAAAGATGTATATTTTCTCCGTCATCCAGCCATCCAATTTAGATCAAGTGAGCCATTAACCATGTGATCTAAATCTGACACTTTGGAGTATTTTATTTTTAGTTTTTTTCTACATATTGTATGAATATGAAATTTGGTAGGGGTGGACCCGAACCTAGACCCGATTAGATTTGGGTCTAGGTTTTGGACCTGGATCCGACCCGAACCATTGGGACCAAAAATTGGACCCATACCCATTGTTCATAACAACGCTCGAGGGTGGCGAGGTGGGGCATGACTCTTTGACCGTGACGACAAGCATCTTCGAACGGGAATGGAGTCGATCAGAGGTAGAGATTGGAGCTCCGTCAAATTATGATCCGAGAGGGAGATAGGCCATAGACCGGTCTATCTCCCGAAACATAGGTGGTTACTGACTTATGGGACGATGAGGCCAAAAATTCGCAAACAAGAAGAAATTTTGGAAATTCTAAAGCAAAGAAGAGGAGAGATTTTGAAATAGCAAACTAGGGCTAAACTATACTAAATGTGCCAAATACAATCCAAAGAAAAGGAAAAATTGATGAACTTGCTTGAAACCGAGCCCACATGCCCGGCACCGGGAGTTGGTGGTTTGGCTCAGATTTAAGATTGTGCGCCGACCTCTTTCGCTTGTAGACACTCCACTTTAAATCAGGCAAATTCGATAGTTTTTTGAACCCTTTGGACCACATTATCCTAGTAGACCTAATTTAATTACCCCAAAACTACCCAAATCCTATCCCAATTTGAAGTAGAGCCCAAGAGCTTTCCAACGGTCCAAGAATCTTCTGAATCGGACTTACAAATAATACGATATAACAAATAACAATTTAGTCCCTATGAGACCCAAATGTCAAGCTGCGGGCTGTACTGTAATGGGCCCGAACGCAGGCTGATGACACAGTAAATGCGTTTTCTTTAATTAAATAAGCCTTAAACTTCAAGATAAATCCAAAAAATTCCAAAAAAACTCCAAAAAAAATAGAAAAAAAAGTACCAATTGAATCTTATAAATACCCCCTTTCCCTAACCCAAAAGGAGAGAAAAAAAAAAAGGCCAAAGAAACTTAGAAATTCCCGAAATTAGGAAAATTACTCAAAAATACCAAAATAGAAAAAACCTTTAAAAATTCCTAAAAATTTAGGAAAAATCCCAAAAAGTTAGAAAAAATATCAGAATTCATATTCAACCTTTGGAGATCACAAAGCCCTTAGAAAACTAAAGAAATTCTCTTCCGGACCCAAGAGAAACAAAGAGAAACAGATAGAGATTGAAACCTTAGAGCTTCAGAAAAACATAAACTCTAACCTCCTGAGACCCTAACCCCCAAGCTTAAGAAAACCTAGACCTAGGGCATAACAACCCTATATCTAACCCTTCTACACTAGATATCTACTGGTCAACATCCGAATAAGAGAGGCAAAGATGACCGGTTCTGATATGGGCGAGCCCTCAAAGGCTCAGGAAGCTCGGGGCATCCGGCCTGGTTTGGTATTATTTTTTCCTCTCTATTTTTTATTCTTTTATTGTTTATTTTTGTTTTTATTTATTTTGATATGTTAACTTTGTCTT